TTAATATCAACTTGTGTAGAATTAATGAAATAAATAGAACTTGTTGGTCAAACATTACTAGAAGTGTCATTGATTTAAATGGACCAACTTAGGGCTAAAATTGGATTTACCTTTAAGAATATACGTTTTCATAAGGAACAAACATCCTGAAGGTGCTGAATTATCAAACTTACACAATGCACTACCATATTCAGCATGTTTTATTTGTTTCCAAAGTAAACTCACCACACAGCATCTTGGTCATACTGTTGGGACACTTGCTGTTCACAGCATGACCTGCCATAACCCATAGCCTCCCTGTCCAGTTCTTCCTTTAATTATTATTATTTGCTTAGGGTTAAAGACTCTATGAAGCTGCTTAGCTGTTGACCCCTCAATTAAGTGGTGACACTTCCAGCAGAGATACTCATTTACTTCCTTACTACATTTATAGCTTACTCTTTAAAATGGTTGCATTTTGAAACAATTTTAAAACGCAACCAATTTAAAATCAAAGAGCTTAAAATATAAAGTTAAAACATTAAAACTAGCACACTAACACCTGTGCAGGCCATGATACTTAACCTTCAAAGGCTCTAATAAATATATTCTGATTTGATGCCAAAAACGGTGCCAATGCTGGCGCCAATCAAGCCTCCAAGGGGAGAGCATTCCACAGTTGCGGTGCTATGGCCAAAAATGAGGAAGTGAAAGAAATTTGTTGGTCAAACATTAAATGAAGTGTCATTGAGTGAAATGGATCTATTTTAGTTAGGGCTAAAACTGGATTTAGCTTTAAGAATGTATGCTTTCATAATGAAAGTTGAGATCTTGTGATATAGAGTGGGCTATCAGTAAATCAATAAAAATAACAAATTAAATTAAATATAAAGTAAGTCATCTCTGCTGAAAATGTCATACTGTATGTATATGTGGCACCTTTATAATGTTTTCCATAAATAACTTTATTTGTTAAAGTAAAATATTATGATTGCATCTTTCTCACTTATACTATTACTTATGGAACATGGAGCATGATACATCTGTCATCACCAAATCAGCCTATTGGGCACAGTCGCTGAAATCATATTGAGCCAACTTGCTGTGGTACAATCCACCCCTCCATCACCATAACCTGGTTTGGGTTATGTTGGAATTCATACAGGATGTTAACTGGTATGAAAAAATGCTCACATCAAAATCCCACCCCTATGGAATATTTCGAGCCTCCTTCTCCCATTGGTGTTATGTACATTGTGCAGTTCCACACAATTCTGAGAGGACACAATTGTTAATTTTAAACCATGCCAGTGATGGATGGCCCATGTCCATCAGCTTTATGTTTGTGTGTCTTCCTGCCTGTTTGTAGCTTGATCCTTTCCACCCTTCACAACATCCTCTTTAAAAAGAGACTATCTGGGTCATTCATTCAATTCCCAGTTTCAGCTTTTCATTGTTTGCAAAAATTCCTCAGCAACACGTTTAACTCCAATAACTTAACATGCTTGGCCTCACTTGTGTTGCCTGAAAAACCCAAAGCATAAGTTCCTCAAGATGCTACTCATGGCAATTTTGTTAAGAATATTCCAGGAAGGATGTTAACTATGCAAGATGTTTCCATAGCAATCCCAACACTTCATTTTTATATGAATGCGACAATCTTTGGATCACTTGTCAATCTTGACTTTGGCTTATTGTAAGCTGTATCAGTTATTTCTGTTCAGTCTGTAAAGTGTTTCGTGATACTCTGAGGACTGATGTATCAAAATAAATTGTACTGAATCTATGTTTTGACTTGTTTCTTTAAGCAAGAAAAATCAATTTAATGTAACACTGGGGAAACAAACCACATGGAGGATGTTCATAACCTGTGTAGCAAGATGCAATTAAAGATTGGGTTGCACAGAATATGGTAGGAAACGGAAGCGTACAAAAGAGCTACTTTCAGATTATAAACTTCAAACTGTAGGGTACATTTTATACCACAGTCCTGTTTTCTACAGCTAGCTTGACCTTCTCAGCAATGGCAAAGGATGGAACTACATATTGCAAATGAATGGTGCTGCTACTGAAAATGGCAGTCTTCTATCTCATTCTCATATTATTCACTATAATGTATACACGACAGATGATTGGTCTCAAGCTGTGAATTTCCCTACCTTGTAACTACAGCCAATTAGCAAAGCAGAGATACTAAAAATCACAATGGAACCATGTAAGACATCATATGTCCCTAGATTTAAGGGATGAGAAAATGAAAAAGAATGCAGTTTTATGTGTTGCTAGTTTATTTCTAGCAGGTAAAAATGACAGATGAAAATTTTTTAAAAGGCTGAACTATACTGGGAAAACTCTACTTGACTTCTTTCAACCTGGCCAAATTTTGAGGAGAGCAAAAAGATAATATTGAATTTGAACTTTAAAAAAAAACAACTTCTGAAACTACGGTGAATGATTTAATGGCATTTTCAAATTACACAAAGACAAACACTGAACATCTAAAAAAACACAATCAAACCACCGGAATATCAGTAAACAAACAAACAAACAAAAAACATGTGGTTACACATTGACATATAAGTACAGGATCTTCTTCCTCAGCAGAAGGTGGTTTTCAAGACATAGTCATCAAAAGAATCAGATTGTGAAAGGTCTACAGAATTCTTTTTAATCTGCAAAAATGATGTGAACTGTTTGAATAACACATATACAGAGAGAAAGAGACAGACAGACGCAGGTATTGTGATTTACCCAGTGATTCAACCACTTTTTTCTCTTTTTTCTTTCTTTTTTCTTTTTTGCAAAACTAGGTTTCAATACTGAAAATACGCAAGTCATCTCCCTTTTATGTGAAATGTAGGACATAATTAGAACAATATTCATACAGCAGTAGTAGGAACACCTGTTCATTTTGAGATGGCAATAAGAAAAAGTGAAATGTATGTCTACAATTGTCTTCACCATTTATTTAGTGTTGAGAACCTCAATGCGATGCTAAAGATAGATTCCGTAACTACCGTATTTTTCGCTCCATAAGACGCACCATTTTTAGGAGAAGAAAACAGGAAAATATAATCTGTTTTCTTCACTCCATAAGACGCACAGACATTCCACCCCCGTTTTGTGGGAGAAAAGTGTGTCTTATGGTGTGAAAAATACGGTAGTTCCCTCCTCAAAAAAGGCACAATCCATGCCTGAAGTGAGAATGGGCGTGAGGATTTCTCGCCCATGAAAGGTGAGTCCTTTCGTGACCTAAAGCTCAGCAATACAGAGCACTGCCAATCTCATACTCTTGCATTATTTCACATATATTTTAAATCGTGTCACCTATTGAACCACAGTATACTGCTCTCGTGGTAGGCAAGAAACCATTAGTCCAAATAGGATTACACAGAAATTCCCCAGTCAGAGACGGCAAGGATCCTGCATGCTTCTCCCTAACTGGAAGTCTGAAAAGTTCACATAGCTAAAAATATTTATTGCTCTCATGTTGTACATGGATTCAGATCATAAGGGTTCGACTGCACTAGCCATGGATCTTAGAGATAAAAACAGGACATTTCATAGGACAAATCCATAAGTATTATAGTGTCCAGCCCCACTCTGTCCACACAAAAACTACCAAGGTCTGAACCTGTATGGCAGCTTCACTCTGTGGCAACGCCAATATAGGAGGACACACTTCAAAAGGATAATGAAACATACAATAATGCCACTTGTAATTCTTTTGAGTCTTGCCATGAAGTAGACGCAAACTGTACGGCCCTTTTCTGTAGGGATTTGTCAAAGAGGTGGGGGGGGAGAGTGTTCTTTCTGAAGGGCATGAAATCAAACTCCAAATTATCCTTGGTTATCAGGCTATCTCTGATAATCATCCATGAGCTATTTATTCACTTCCACACTCAAAAGACTTCTGTTCTTAATCACCATTTAAGTTCCGGGATCATAAAACTTTTTATTCCAGAGAGAAAGAGTTTTAACACTCTATGCTTCTCCTAATTTATGGAGAAGAAAACTAAATTCCTCTCTGCCACTCTATGGTTTTGTGGCTCACTTTGCTCCTAAGCTGTTAGCTCTCTTGGAAATGGTGTTTCCACTCCCAGCCTGCTGTCGCCCTTAAGTTCAAAAGGAAGTAAGCCTCTCAAATACACATTGGGCAGTGCTGTGGGTGACAAACATGTATCAGTGGGAACTGGAAATCAGAGTTCAAGGGAGTATTTTACAGAGTTGTTTTATGGGATCTGTTTTACACTGTTTATAAGGAATCTACATTAGCACACTGAACATCCTAGTCCCAACCCTGAGATATGGACAGAGGTTTAAGAAAAGGATCTCCTGTCTTTAGCTAGAAAGGTAAGATATATGAAAGTGTTGTAAATATAGCAACATGTTTTTCCTTCAGAACTGCCAGTTCCAAACCCACTTGCAAATATGAATGAAACGTGTCCACTTGATGCCATGACACAGGAAGAGCAACACTCATCTAGACCTCCTTTGAGTAACTATAGTACTAAAAAAAAACTGTAACAACACAGGGGCCACCATCTATGCCCCAACTGAACATATTATGTCTGTGTGGTAAACCTTCATTAAACCTCTTCATTATAGTTCAAGGTTGAAATTTGGTTTGATTGTTTTTCTACTCTTTAAAACAGCATACTGTAATGAGGTACAGGGTGCTTTATCAATATTAAACAGCAGAATTCAAAACAGCTCCACATTCGTTTCTGAGGTAGCATTCTCACTTATAATGGCCAGAATCCAGAGAACTATGGTAGGCATAGCCAAGAATTTGGGAACGTCTTGGGAGATTTTAAAACCATTCTTCCCCCCCAACATGTTTTGAAAGACCCCTTTGTTTCAGAAGTAGCTTGCCAAGAGATGAGGGGAACGCAAACTGCTTTGATCATGCAGACCTCCTCTTATCATCGTTTCGATCTCAACCTTTGGGTTTTTTTTTCTGAAAATGTAACTGGGATGGCAAAGCTCCCATCAAATTGGAAATATGTTAAACACAGGTGTATTAAAAAAACAATACAAGGTTTATTTGCTTGCTTAAAAAAATAGTTCACAAAAATGTAGCCCATGTAAATCCTTCTAAGACAGAACTCCCACATTCCTTCTGAAATGTCTTCAGATGCTTGCGGTTTATAACAGCTGCTATAAACTAAAGTGCTTAAGAAATTGTTCAAATTGCTGTGATTGCAATATACTGGTGTTTGCAATAAGCAAGATTTCAAAATGTAGAGTGGTGGCTCAGGCCAACAGGGTAAGGATGGATCCGTTATTTCTTGAAATGTATCAGGATATTCTCCATATGGCAACCTAAAATTCCATGCCTAATGCCAAAATGTTATTTATTGTTTCCTTCACTGACCCTTACTTTTGTTCCATAAACTAGACTACATTGGGAGTTGAAATTAATACTACACTGGAGTTAAGTCAGACTTCATATAAAAGCAAAGAAATCACCACCATGCTTCTCAGCGAAATTCACCCTTCATTTTAAGAGTTTAGCCCTAAACTCTCTTTAACCACAAGGCAGATAAGATATGTAAAATGATAGGGGAAAGGCAGACTATATATTCTTCACAATAAGTACATAGAATTCACATTTAAGTCAAACATAATGCCCTACAGTTCATCTAGGCTGAATAACTTATGAACATCTCTATGCTCCATAGTAAAGCCAAACATCCTTCTATTCACCAGTGGATGTCAAGATATAAAAGTTCATACACAAGAACCTAACTTCTTTGAAAAGGTCACATTTTTTCCTGTACATTTCATGCAATTGTGCACAAAGTGGTAACAAATTCTGCAACACACCCCTTTCAAGGAGCACCTTTTACAGTGATAGCAGACCAACTTATAGGAAAGTCTGCACAAAAGTCTATGGCAACAAAACAGAACAGAAAGAGAGGGGGAAAGGATTCTTCCAATATCTCATTTTTCCTGAAGCAAAGCAGGGATGTTGATGTTCCACCCAATAGCCTGGCGGTCAAATCCACATGTGAACAGATTACATATGGGATGGTCTTCACTCCAAGCTGAACAACAAACCATTCTTCTGTGGCCCTGTGACACCAGAAAAGGTTGCATTAGAATTTGTATTGTTCCTCCTTAACGTGCACTCTCTGAAGGTTGTTCTTTCAAACATCTATGCCAATATGGTTTATTGTCAGTATTAGGCTTCAGTTTCTCAAAGTCTCTTTTCTCGCTAGTAGCAATACACCTCCCTTGGTGGGATAATGAAGTCAAGCTACACACAAAGAAAGGAACTGCATGTAATCCTTAAACAAAGTCAAGATTGCCATCAATGCTTGCAAGTTTTAGAACAGAATTAGTACTCTGGAACAGTTCTTCATAAGTAAGTGTATTGTTAATTTTTAAAGATACGTACAAATGTTACAACAATGAACAAAGAAACCCAAAGAGAGGATGATTTTGCCAAAATTAGTTACTTTTATAGTAGAACATCACTCAAATCCATAGAACTTCCAATACCTTGCTATCCTATATATTTGAAGCCCTTTTATATTCTATGCACTGATATGAATGAAAATGCAGCACATTTCCAGCAAGCACTGCCCCAAATGAGAATAACCTATATGTTTTATTTGAGAGAATTATCTTAATCAGTAGGAAAAATTCCTGTGGTAGAAGGTGGTCCAATTTCTCATCTGCTGACTCTATGCATCTGAATTCTCTTCAGTTAGATTGGCTTAGCTTGCAGAGAGTAAAATTTCTTACCAAACCTGTGACACTAAGAACACTTACCTAGAACTAAGCTCCATGTGAATAAGTCAACATTCTGCATCATGGAAAAAGGGGGTGACAATGAATAATCATACATATTTCTTACACATGGAATCATAACTAGCAGTACCTGTCTGTTGCTGCGAGGAAGTCGTGCTAATCGCACTCCAGACATGTCAAACAGCCTAACTTGCCGGTTGTCATGAGGAAGGGCAATAATTCTTTGGCCAACACAAACATTGATCCTGCATAAAAGAGATTTTTTTAAAAATAGCTTGGGGAGTCTGACAAATGGCAACTGAATGCTGCTAAAGATCACTAAATGTTATTTAATCGAACATTTATGCTGTACCCATTAGGTGTGTAAAAATCCATGATTCTGGACTACAACTCTCAGGGCTCCTGAGTTAGCACCTCCCAGACTTGGACTGCATCTGCCAAAATTCTCCAAGAATTCTGGGGGCCACAGCCCAAACACACAATTCAGCACAACTCTATTTAGCATCGGCATCAACATTTCATACCGTTACATCTGCCACTGCCATTTTCTCCCTGCCAGTACATGCACACACAAACCGTCACCCACAGGGAAGATGGAAGGGCAAGTTGGTAGGCACTGACAGGTAGGGTGGACAGATGTGCCTGCACAAAACTGCACACACCTATTCACTTCTTGTGCCTGCCCACTTTTGCCTTCTTTTGCTCTCTCACTCTCTCATGGGCATCCATACAGAGGAGTGAGAAGGGTTTCTCTTCCCTCTTGTGCACACCTATTCACTTCTTGTGCCTGCTCACTTTTGCCTTCTTTCACTCTCTCACAGGCATCCATACAGAAGGAGTGAGAAGGGTTTCTCTTCCCTCTTGCACATGTGCCTGCCAGTCTGCATGCATGTGCAAAGCACAGGTATGTAGATTTGTGATTTTGGACTGCAACCCCAATAATTCTGCCTGGGGAATTCTCGTGAAAACTCTGGGAGTTGCAGATCCATTCTGGGAAGTGCTGCCAGGGGAATCTGGGGAGTTGCAGTGCAAAGACATAAATCTGCACACACCTAGTACCTATTTCCTATAGTTGTGTATAACTTCATTTTTTTGCAGAGAAAAGTAGAATGATAATATGGTTTCTTTTTATCAAACTTGACACTGTTATTATGGCCACTGGATACACCAATGTAGGTTTTCAGTCAAGACTGGACAAACACTGAGATGTTATCCTTGGCCACACTGAAACTTTCCTAGGTTGCCGGTAGGGTTATAGAATCCTCCAGAGTGATAGTTAACACAGTACAAGGGATGCAAATGAAGTAAACATTCACAGCCATAAACCTAGTTCATGTGAAATGCCTAATTGCACACATGGGAATCTTTATATCTAGGTTTTTAAAAGAAGTAATATAAGCATGCAGTATCCCAAGACAATATAACTAAGCACTCTAGCAAATTCACAAAAGAATTCTACCATGAAAACATTAAATAAATAGACCTAAAGGAAACCTAACTTGCATCAGTTTAAGTGAACCTTGATTGCTTTTTGTCTAAGACCCACATAACAGGCTCTAGCATAGAGGTTTCTTCCTAGATGGTTGGCAGCCGTAACTCTCAGAATACATGCAGAATTCCTGTTAGGAATTTTTAACTTCCCTGACATATCATCTCATCTCTTGACAAGATCTAACTTGGCGCCAATGCTCCCACATGCCTGACTTTTCATAAAACCAGAAATCTCAGACCTCATAACTAAAATGATACTGGTAAGATGACAACAGTTGTCTTATTATCACAGTCATTGCAGAATACCATTGTGCATGCGAAACATTAATTACAAAACAGATGACACTAGCAAAAAATGGTATGATAGAGGTCAGTGAGGTAGATGGAAACTCTAAATCGGCAGGTTTCTACCTATATCTCAGATTTGGATACTATTTTTTGTCTGTTAAGATCAAGTTAATACCTCTTGCATAGGACATGTACTGTTCTGGCTTACCTGTTTACTGCAGAATCTGTGCGAATAGTGGCAATAGGTGATCTCATATTTTTCAAGTCCCAAACTTTCACAGTACGGTCATCACTACCCGAAACAACATTGTCTCCCACAGTGAAGACAGCTGAAGTCACAGTGCTTAAAGAGGGAAATACAAAGCCACAGTTACCACTGATGTTTAAAACAGCCTTGTCATTTTTTTTAAAAAAAAGGTAGGATACTGTTTTATAGGGTAGGGAAAGTCGATTTTAAATAAAATGAATTTTAAATTTAACAGTAGGCTTCGCAACTACAGCAACCCAAAGTCTTCTTGTATATTAACTGGCTGGGATCAAGGTTCCCTCCAAGGTGTGCAACTCTGCAAGCGTACGCAACCCCACCCCCCGGTGCAATGTTCCTCCTCCAGCGATAATTTCCAGCCCCTTTGGTCCCAGTCATGTTGGAAACCTGTGCAGGGGGTGGAGTCATGGGGAGTTGTTGGGTGGAGCCTCACCCAGCCGAAAATTAGGGGGAATATTGGCTGGAATGTAATACTGAGTTCAATAAACACCTGCCTTTAACAAGTAGTTTAAGTATTTTTAACATGCAAGAATGTTAACGATATAGTCAGTCTCTCTTTCTCAGGGTCATACACAGAACCTCAAACAACGTGTGTGTGTACACACACACACACACTTCTCCCATGGGGGAGATATTGCTATATTATAGCAACTGATTATTCAAAATTATGTAAACTATTCTTTTGAGAAAAAGCTTTGCCTTATCTGAATTACAATAAACAAATGAAAGATCAACAGAAGATACAGACATTTAATTCTTGGAACCAGAGCATGTTAATGGTTACATTTGAAGAGAGGGAGACTAAAGTGTTAAGCTATTTCATTCATTCTAGTCTAGAAAGCCTTTATCTTGCATCCAACTACACAGCATGCTAACAAAGCATTTGCTTCCTCACCTGCTTCATTATTGTGGGCTTCTCGGCTTAATTTCTATGGATTGCCTTTAATGACCTATCCTGTATAGCTTAGGGGTCACATACATCAATTGCTTACAGTTTAGTAATTTTAATTTAAGGTGTCAAGTTACTCTTGTCACTTCTATTGTACTGTGAGAATTTGATTTCAAGTCCTATTCAGTTTACTGATTGAGATTAGTATTACCCAAGTCACAATGGACTAGTATGTGCAAGCCCTCTTAATTTAAACTGACATCAAATTAAAGTCTAATTACACCCAAACACTATTGTGTCAGTGGCACAAAGTTTTTTAATGCTGGACTGGAGTGCCACTGAGCTGGTCAGAGTAATTATGTGGCACAAACTCGAGGTCTTCACTCACGCCTTCTGAGACCGGTACCCAATTACATAAAGCCTCTGCACCTGAACTGCTTCAAGAGGCCCAAGCAATTAAGAATGGACGCTGGGTTTATGGAAGATCTCCAAAATTATCGCACATTCACAGCCTGGAGAACACAGAATCTCCCAAAATATATGCATTAGATACTGAAATATTCATACAAGCTGAATGTTTCGCTGTTCCACAACATAACGACAATAGATTTGATTCTTTCATCATGCATTAAAATTATTCATCTAGTTAAGGTGAAAAAGCTTGTGTTTCCTAAACAACTGCTCAAAACTCTCTGCTTTTCAACTTCTGCTCAAAATCGTGAACACTTTTTCATTTGTTTAAATCTGTATCCCAGCCGGCATCCTGAAAGTTTAGTAACGGTTGCACTGGATTGCTGTGCACACGTAGATCTGATCACCAGTCAAAAGTCACACCTAAAATTGCCAGAATACTATCTTTTCAGTGATGGCATCCAGAGCATGAAATATTCCTGTAGAGATCTCTTTGGCCTCTTCTACTTTCACTTCCAGATGCTTGCTTTCAGTGTGCTAATCTTTACATCTCCTGATTTCTCCTTTTAATCTGTTGTAAACTGCTTCTTATTTTTTTAAGTGTTGCTTTTGGTATTATTTCTGTATGTTTTATTATTCATTTTATTCCTTCCAAAACACTCTGTATATTGCAACAGAAAAGCAGGCATGGTGTCACTTTTCTAAGATATTAAAAGAAGCTCTTAGAACAGTGGAAAACAAAAAAAAGTGAAGAATAGTTCAATATATGCTGTTACAAAGAAACACACAGGTTGAAAATGGCAATCAAATACAAGATGGCAGAAGTGACAAATACAGTCACACAACATAAAGAAAGCATATCTTGCAATGGAGATCCTGCCAAGAGCTAAATATATTAAGACACAATGAAGAGAGAAACTATAAGCAATCTTTTTTTAAAGTAAAAATAGAGATAAAAAGCGAAACAAACAAACTGAAAGCAGTAATGCCCCTTCTTCTTAGCTTGGGGGGGACAACAACAAACAACAACAACAACCTTTGGACTGCAGAGCTGGAAGGGACCCTATGGATCATCGAGTCCAGCCTGTCTTAAGGAGATGCAGCGGGGAATCGAACGCCCACCCTCTGGCTCCATAGTCAGAGACCTAAGCCACCGAGCTCTGCAGCAATTCAGTGGAGCCTGTTTAAAGGGTAATTACTCACCCCTTAGCCAAAATCAATTCAAGGCAACAAAACCAACTGAAGCTACAAAGGGGAAGTACATCAAATAGAGTGGTGCCTCGCAAGATGATTTTAATTCGTTCCGCGAAAATCATCGTCTTGTGAAAAAATCGTCTTGCGAGGTTCCCTATGCATCGGTCTCAAAAAAAAAGTCTTGTGAAGCATCGGCCTAAAAAATAAGTCTTGCAAAGCATTGGTCTCAAAAAAAGTCTTGTGAAGCACGGTCATAGAAAAAAAGGCACCATAGTGACCATAGTGATTGCAAAAACCAATCGTCTTACGGGTTTTACGTCCCACAAGGCAATCGTCTAGCGAGGCACCACTGTGCATTTGAGCAGTACTCAACCTTTGGCCCCCAGATGTTCTGGGATGAAACTCTCAGAAGCCTTTCATCACTAGCTCTGCTGGCCAAGGTTTCTGGGAGCTGTAGTCCAAGAACATCTGGGGACCCAAGATTGGGAACCACTGCACTAGAGCCCCAAACAGCCTTTATAGTCTCTGTAGTAACATAGAGAAACAGACACTTTTGTTTGCCCCCACTAGACAGATGGGGCATATATCCATTTGATTATACAGTTGCCAAAGATCATGTCTGAAAAGAAAAACATTAGAAGGGAACAGGATGGTCATATATCCTAGTTAACACAGGACAGTCCCATCTGAAGGTCTGTCTGGTCCACGTTGTAGTTAAAAGATTAAAATAACTATAATAATGGAAAGCAAGGGCCCTGAGGTTGTGAATTCACAGTGAAGACATGAGCAGCAGATTGAACAGGCCAACAGACTGCTTGGTTAGTTTTTTCCACCACAGTGAAATGTATCATATTTTTATCTAATTGATAATAAATCTAAATTTGCATCTGCACATATATGTACAGAGTCACATACAATATTTATACACATTATAAACCCATGCCCATTTTGCAATTACTCAATTTTTGGCTAGGTGTTTCCTGGTGGCACAAAAATAGGCAACATAAAAGGGAATGCCCAATTTTTTTTAAAGGGTATGCTGATAAACGTACATCAGGAAATATTTCTTTCAATGAGGAGGAAGGATCATTATCAGGGATCATGCACAAGCACATCTCAAGCAATCTTTTAACAAATATGCTAGGTTTTTATAAACAGTCTGTAAATTTATGTACACTTCACAGCTGAACAAATATAACCGATATAGACTGTTTTGTTTAATCTGTGGGTTCCTACACTATTATTTTAACCGAGATTACAAGATTAGTATTACTTTACTTATGAATTAAACTGAGATGAAGTCAGAATTAATAAAGGGCATGGAGACGTGGTCTAGATGGAATATTTGATGACTGGTCTCCTGTTTGGAGACTCAATGACAAAACATATGCTGCCTAATGCTTAATCTGGATTGAACCATGAATGTTTAAGTAAAGAACTAGAAAAGGGGATAGATGAATTATTTCCCACTTTCCCTTCATTTGGTGCTGGGTCCTCTAGCAACTGGGGCCAACCTAATACTGTACTGTGGTTAACATCTCCCCAGCTAAATTAATGAAAAATGTCAACAAAAGATCACTAGATTTCATGTTAACGGAACGCTAAAAGGGATTAGGCTTTTAATAACTCAGAATGGATGACAGGTATCTTTGCGCATTTACAAAAAAAGTTGGCAAAGAGACAGCAATCTTGTGACACCCTTAAACTGTGGGTCCCCCACAGGGAGTTTGGTGTGCTACTACCATTCTGTGGAAAAACTTCAGTCTCTGCCAAGCCCCAGCAAAATTCATTTATCTTGTCCTAGCAAGCAGCCGAGCATGTACTTCCAGCTGACAGAGTGGCACTTTCTCACCACACACCACTGCCTGATCTGGAACATTCTGCTCCCTCTGTGGGTCTCAATCAACGAAAATACTGTAATGCTAGCACTCCTCATTAGGACTAACAGCTGTCTCCCTAGTCACACAGAGACACAAAACTGTTTTGCATAACAATCTGCTGAAATTTCACACTCAGGGGAGAAAAAATATGATGCAGAAAATGCTGGACCATGAAATGCTGATGCGGTGTGCTGCCTGGAACCACTTCAAAAAAAATTAACACTGTAGTGCCCATTTTCAGTCACACAGCAGAATTTTGGAAGGAGCTTTGCGAGGAGAAAAACCCTAAACGATCAATCTCTTACATTCTGGGAAGTGGTTATTTTTATTACGATGTTGCTATATATGTTTTCATTTACAAAATGTATGATTGCGTAAATCATGCTTTCATTAATAAATAAATTAATCCTATTTGGGGGAGAAAGGTGGGATATGAATTTAAGAACAAAATAATATGATAAAATAAATCTTCACTATAGAACACTAAAATGCAGAGGCAGCGATTATGACAGATTCAGATTTTAAATACAACTTCCTGTAAAACGAAATGAGCCATTACATCCTGACAGACAAAACGGCAATGGCAAACACTAGAAAGCCATTCAGATATGCACAATATTGATTGGTCCAAGAAATATTTTAAGGCATAATAAAAATCTAGGAATGTGTCAAAGCTCTCAGAGACTCTCACTAGGACTCCGCTCATATTATCATAAAAAGTAAACCACTGTCCAGCAGAATAACTCTAATAACAGCTGTACCATAACTGAATAACCTTCTCTTCTCCAGTACTGTATAATAAACTACAGCTAAATTAAAGTGTTTCTCCTGCCCACAGATACTGTACAGTTAACTTGCAAAGGAGCCAAGGAATTGCTGCTTTTAAACAATAATTCTAATACACATGCATGTAATGTTTGAACATACTGGGAGACTAGCAACTCATATACACACAAAAGTATCTAGGATAAGAAATGTTTGTCACAATTTCAACAAGACACTTCAGCTGTATAAATATTCCCTTACACACCCAAAATTATCTTCCATGAAAGCTGCTGAATATTATATATCACAGCTTTATATTTAGAGCCATTTAAGCTACATATTTTTTTAACATTTGTGCTAATTCCTCCATGTTGATTGTTTCTTCTTTAAAAAATATGTTTAAGCCAAGACACTGTAAACATTTACATGGAAAAACAATAATACAGTTTTAAATATTAAACAAATCTCATACTACTGCATTTATAGTATGAGTGGCTAAACTCGACATCTTTTATAGAAACCATATATTTCCCAAATGTAAAAAGTATTTTTCAAACTTTAAAAGCAGCCTTAAGGCGCCATCTGCTGGAAAGAACCCAGAATATAATATGCCCCTGCAATGGTTTGTTTGCTTATGTGTCAGCTTAGGAATACAGCTTGTAGAGGGATAGAATTGGTGTAAGACCTCCTTGCAAGAGAAACAAGAGAAAAGGATCTAAAGGTGATGTAGAACAGTGGTTCTTAACCTTTGTTACTCGGATGCTTTTGAACTGCAACTCCCAGAAACCCCAGCCAGCACAGTTGGTGGTGAAGGCTTCTGGGAGTTGCAGTCCAAAACTCCTGAGTAACCCAAGGTTAAGAACCAGTGATGTAGAAGACTACTCTATTTTTTTAATGTATCAAACATGTTCCACACTTGCTGTTCTTTTACAATTCAAAATTATAGGCACATATAAAGCAGTTCTCAGAATCATGGTGCTGGATTCAAAGAACGGCAAAAGGTAGAATTACAGCTGCTAGTGTTGTTCTGAAAATGCTCCTACAAGAGTCCACAAGGCAATAGTAATTCTTTGCCATCAAGTCAATTATGACCTATGGTAACCCTTTTCAGGGTTTTCTAGGTAGAGAGTACAGTACTCAGAAGTGATTTGCCATTCCCTTCTTCTGGGGGGCAGCTCTGGGACGCTGGATCTTTCTCAAAGGCAACACAGGCTGGCTCCATAGCCAGATACCTAACTCACTGAGCTATGCAGCCAGCCACTTCTGTTGTTGTTGTTGTTGTTGTTGTTGTTGTTGTTGTTGTTGTTGTTGTTGTTGTTGTTACTACTATTACTACTACTATTACTACTATTACTATTATTACTATTATTACTATTATTATTACTATTATTATTAAATCTAGATGACTGGCTAGATAGCTCAGGGTTTAGGTATCTGGCTGTGGAACATGAAGTTGGAAGTTTGATTCCCCAGTATGCCTCCCGCAGGTAGGGCAGTCCGTGTGGCCTTGGACAAACGACACAGTTCCAGATACGCCCAGAAGAAAGGAATAGTAAACGACTCCTGAAAAGGGTCACTTGATGGCACATGAATTGACTTGATGGCACATGATAATAATGATTAAATCTAGATATACTGTTCGTAGATTCAGAACAAAATTTGTTTTACAATTTATAATAAAATAAATTATATATTGATACAAAAATAAGAATGGGCAGCAACATTAAAATAAATGGATTCTAACCATGTTTGAGCACTACCAGAGTCCCGTGGCCCAGTGATTAAACTGCAGTACTGCAGTCAAGATTCTACTCATGACCTGAGTTCAAGCCCAATGGGCTCAGGTTGAGGTTGACTTAGCCTTCCATCCTTTCAAGAACAGTAAACTGAATACCCAGCTCGGGGGGGAGGGGGGAAGGGGTTTGAGCAAAGTCTAGTCTGCATAATTAAACTACACATTAAATTATAAACTTTAAACACTATGGGGTGGTATAATAGCAGCACACTTTATCACTGAAAAATCTTCAGATCAGTAATTCCCAAAATAGAGCTTGTAGTGTTGTTGGAATTTGATTCCTGGATGTCCTAGCTGATCAGAGATTTTAGGAACAGATTTTAGGAAATCTGGGGGACGAATGTTGGAAACCAATGCTTTATTATCAGGCACAGAAAACCAACGCTGGGTTTTTGTGGGTTTTTTTTTTTGTTTTTTGTTTTGGTTCTGTAGAGCAAACAAAATTTATTTACGAGGCGGAGGGAAATCCATCCCACAAGTACAACCATTCTATCTGTAACAGACAGAGACAGAACAGTGCTGATTTCCTTTTGTAATTCCTGTAACACAGGCACTCCCATATATTCAGCACATGGTATAAGAACAATTGACGATACAAAAGTGTGGGACCAGACCTGAATTTGTCCTTGTGTGGGAGACCAGTGGGATCTGCCCATGGCCTCACCTCAGCTTTCTAAAGGAACAGTAGGAAAGAGAGGCAATAAATCAACTACAACACCACTTCTCCTATGGTTCATGGCATGCTGGGAGCCAGTGAGCTGAAAACCTCTCTCTAGCTTCATGCTTCTGAACATTCCTTCCTTTGCAGCCTTCAAATGATATGGCAAAGTTTCATGCTTCCTTTGACTTTACCATTAGCTTTTTTTGCCTTTAGGAAGATTGATTTTCTTGTCATGAATCAGCTAAAAGAATACATCATGCTTTTAACATTAAGCCTTGCTGTTACAACTAGAGATGGGGATATTCCTATTCGTATACAAATATCCCTGCACAGGTGGAAATAACGAGGGCCCGGCCCCATAGGGCTGGACTGTCCACTCACGATTCCGTGAGCTTGTCGGACCTTCCTAGTGCGTCGTTGTCTGCAGTCAATTACCCAGTCCTGGCAGGAGGCAGGATGACAAGCCTCTCTGCTAGGTCGGAGAGTGGCTAATCCACTGCGGCAATAGGAAGCCTCCGCAGAGCCAGCGGCAGCAGTGAAATTGTGAGTGGTTATTTCCACCTGTGCGGGGGTATTTGTATACAAACACCCCCATCTCTAGTTACAACTCTAAACAAGAGCTTTAGCCTGCAAACTGTCCCCTATTCCAATAATATCCATATCACAATGGTATCTTCCAATTAATACCTGAGAGGTTCCAGCAATTGTATTTGTATTTACCTGCAGATGATCGCCATGAACTTTAGTGAGAAAATTTAAGGTTGCTTGCTACATGACAATCTGACATCCGCTTCTCTTGGAAATGAAACAGGCTCATATAGTTCTGTTCCAGTTACTTTTCTTAGAGGTATTTCTAAATCCAGGAGGAAATCCCTTTCCAACAGATAATTATAAGATCTGGCCTTGATCTGCAGGGCCCTGTCTTAGAAAGAGTTCAGAGATCCTTGCTCCTGCACAGATCAGGAGTATTTCCAAGATCAGCCTGATCTGAACATCCTTGGCTTCCCTAACCCTAAACCTAAGACTAGTAGGTTAGTATTAGACTTACCAGTTTTCTGAGCAGTAAGAAAAAACAACATAGTCCTAAAACACTTTAAGAAGCAACATATTTATGATACTATATGTCTTTTGTGAACTATCAAATTCAAGAATTATAATCCTCAACTGGCATGCATGTATTTATTCATGGGTTTAAAGGAGAAGTGCAAGCCTTGGAAGGACATGGCTAGCTGCCCTCCAGACATTGTGAAAACTGCTGCTCTGCCTACTCCACAGTGCAACACAGTTGCAGTATTTTCAAAATACTCATTTAAAACCAATGTAACTTCTCAATATCCAATTTTAAAAAAAAAAGCAGAAATGGATGTGACTTCCTTTTCCTTGGTACTAAGTTCTAACTGGATTGAAAAAGGAAAAAGGGGGTTTCTGGATCATCCCAAAATAAAAATTATCACTGTGAAAATCTAGAAGACATAAAGTGACACAAGTACACCAACGCCATTACCGTTTTAAAATAACAGAAGCAGCTGTCACTTACTCTGTATGGCCCTGAAAGACATTCACAGAATGGATAGACGGATCTCTGAAATCCCACAGACGGAAGGTTGTGTCGCGGGATGACGTCACCACAAGACGTTGGGTGGGATGTGTGCAACAATGTGTGAGTTCTTGGTCATGTCCTATAACCACAGATGAAAACATTAAGGCATTAAGAATGCATGACATTATTTCCACAAACATTGAGGATGAAAAACATCAGAGACAGAATTACTGTATTATGTTTCGATGGAAATCAAGAAAGGCCCAGCAAGGCCAGGAACTAATCAAAGTAAATTAAAAGTGGACTACCACCCAAGGCAAATTAGAAGGAGCTTACCATCACTTGTGTCTTAGAGCTTGTAACAGATTTCTGGCCACCATTACTCACACAAATCTTTATTTCACTTGTAATTAAGAAGTGAAATACATAATTACCATTCCTTAACCAGCCTGATGGCAAATTCAATTCATTCTTATAATGATCTGCTGAGCAGCAAATCAAAATGGACATCCTGCTCTCAATCTAATGGCTAGTTTCAATTAACAGACCCACCGAATTAGCTGATGAATGGTGAATCAGCACTTCTCTCAAGCCCACTGATTCAAAAGGTCTAGTCTCTTTGGGACCAGGAACAAGATTCAGGTCCTTGTCTCCTTGATTAAGCATGCAGAGATGAGAAAACGCAGAGACACTCCAAGTGAGGAGGAGGAGTATCAACCAACCAACCAACTGCTGAACTGTCTTTGCAGACACACTCCAAGTGAGGAGGAGGAGGAGTACCAACCAACCAACCAACTGCTGAACTGTCTTTGTGCACCTCCATCAAAGTGCAATAAGCAGTCTGTTCTCTTCAGTCATTTACATATCTGAGGAAGATGCAAAAAGATTATTTGCATCTTGTTTTGTTTCCATGATTAGAAAGCTGTGACCAGAAATGTTAGGATTTGTCAAGCTTTATTTATGCCTAATTCTCTTGTGCAAGACTACCCTTCCCCAATCTCCCAATGTAAGATATTTCTGACGTCTGCTCCCATGAGCCAGACTAGCATTGCAAATGCCCAGAGATCCTGGGAACTGAAGTAAAACATATCTACAGGGCACCAGATTGGGGAAGCCTCTCCTAGACCAAAGAGACCTGCAGTGGGTATTTAACAGAGATCGATCTAAAACTTTAAAAAAAGATCAAGCTGAGGGCTGCAAAATCAACACAAAGATCTAAAACAAACCACCTAGTCCAGGGGTTGGCAAATTCGGACAGTCTGCCAAGTTGCAGTCACTCACCAGAAGCCATACCTCACTGATCCTACTGAAATTCAGTAGCTGCAAAACTAAACTAGACTGAAATGAAATAAATAAAAATTTTAAAACTTTAAAGCAAGGTACATGGAAAGCCAAATGGTACTTTCAGAAGGCTGTAAGGACAATTGGGGTGGGGCTTGCGCTACATACTGCAAACTGCCTGTATCTGATCTAATCTATCTCATGCTTTAAATATTCCCTATCACAGTTTTATTTTGTACCAGATAACAAACCATCATTAGCTTACAGATTGTCACTAGCAAATTATGTGCAGCAATACATACATTCCATCACGACAATACCTTCAGACTGATAACTTAAAGGAAACAACTTATGTCTTCACTCTATAAAGAATGAGGACACCACACCCTTCTCATTTAACCTGCTGAAGCGACCACATTAGTGGAGAAATGTGTTAAATACTGAACATGAACCATGTTATCCACAAAATTACCGTATTTTTCCGTGTATACGACCCCCCCAATGTATAAAACAGCCCCCTAATTTTGACCCTTGACAGAGGCGGAGGAGAAGTTAATGGGCAACTGCTCCTCCACCTCCGTCTCTCCTGTTGCTGCTGTCTCCACTGCCCGCCTGATCGCCTCCTCCAGTGCGACTGCCGGAGCTCACCTCCAGCTCACGTTGCTGCCATGTTCCCCGCCCTAAGGAGACAATTGCTGGAGGAGGTGGTCCGGCAGCGGCAGCAGGAAGAGGTGCCCGAGCGTGCGCAAGTGCTTGTTTGCCTCTGCCTCCTGGGCAGCAGCAGGAAGAGGTGCCCGAGTGTGCGCAAGTGCTTATTTGCCTCTGCCTCCTGCTGCCTCTGTCACCAGAGGGGACAAAACGTGAGCTGAGACCATCAGTCCCACTGGAGGTGGTGATCGGGTGAGGCAGGGAGGCAGCAGCAAGAGGCGCCCAAGCGCGTGTGAATGCTCCTTTGCTTCCGTCTCCATCTCCTGCCTCAGCCACTGGAGGGGACAAGCCATGAGCTCTGGAAGAGGCAACTGGGCAGCGGCAGCAACAAGAGGCACCCGAGCGCACGTGCGACTGCCTCCTTCTGTGTATAAAACAACCCTCAAATTTTTCCTCTAATTATTTTAGGAAAAAGTGTCATTTTATATAGGTAAAAATGCTTAACATATTTGGTACTCTGTTATTCAACATCTTCCTCCTTAGACATAGTATCCACAGTTACTGCTCTCTAATCCCTAAAACTACAAAATAACATTATGAATTTTTAAATTGTCTTTTTTTAAAAAAAAATGGACCTAAAGTATAGTAAGCCTATTTCCACATAACTTTTCATTGGACAAAAAAATGACCTAATAATTTATTACACTGAGTTATTCCAAATGTTTGATCGCTCACTTCATAACACAAGCCCAGCTGTACTAAAGTTTTGACGCTGGTACATAGGTTGGAAAACAAGTAAAAAGTTGCTAACGTAATATAAATATTAGGCTATTTTAGTTTGTTTTACAATAAAAATCTCATTAAAATACCTTCTGTATGAGTAAAATATAAAAGGGGTTCTTATTCATACATCTATTAAAGGTGCCTGATCAAAAGATAAAAGAAATCCTTTGATAAAATGTCAGGTATGGGAACACATTCCTTCTTCTTTTCTACTTGAGATTTCAAACTGTCAAACTCCCTAATCCTAAACTCAAATCTATAATAACCTGTGGTGCTGGCTCATCCTTATTTCCCAAGGTAATTTTTTTTAATTGTTATTTCTTCACTTAGTTTAAATAATAAAGCAAAAGTAAAGCTTTCATACAGAGTTACCTGTCAGAGAATGCACAAGTTCAGATGTCTCCACATCATATAGGTTTGCTGTCCTATCCCATGACGCAGTCACAGCTTGCTTGCCCCCAACCAGCCAATCTGCTGCTATGACAACACCTTGATGGCTTTTTAGGGAAGTTAAAGGAGTCCGGATGGTGGGACAATCACCGCAGCCATCTCCATCTCCGTCAGCTTCGTCTTTGTCAGAGAATTCCACTTCATCTTCTCCAGACATTTGCTGCAAATTTTGAGAATACTTCAATGCATCAAAAATGTCAAGTTAATTGTGGCTTACAGCATTTGGTATTGACTTGTAACATGGATATTATCTCATACAAGCACAAAGGTTTTTGCCATCTGGACTCACGCTGTGCAGTGCAACTGCCAAGCCAGATAGCTTGAAGGAGGAAAAAAAGACTTAGAGCAGGACACTGTATGACAAAGAAAGATTAGGTTGTAGAGAAAGTCCATGAAATTGCAGAGTACACTTGGGGAAGACATACAACACAAGAAGGAAAGGTTAAGGCTGTCTGGATTCTACAGAATGATTTATCTTATTTACTATATGCAAAGGTTTTGCTATGTGCAAAAATGTACAGACTCTTGAGATTATGCTTTTGTATAGCAAACTATCCTGGGCTCGTAGGACAAATTAGGACAAAATGTTTTGCCAAAATTCTAAAGCATAAACATATATTTTTAAAAGATTTTATGAAACCTCTATTTCATCAAGAATAGCATTCCCAGATACGAAGCTGCCAAACGGTTGGCACCTCCTGCACGGTTGCATGGGGAATTGGCTGCAGTAGCATGACTGATAGAAGGGATACACAGCAGCTGTGAAAGCCACAGGACATGTTTTTGCAGTTGCTGGTTCTAATATTGCTAGCGCTGAGTTGCTAACGTGAGTAATATAACCTCCCAACCAGTTTGCACTGGTGTAGGCAACAGCCGCTATCAGAATAGAGCAACAGGATCAAGCTACACTGCACAAATATATCTACACCATGATGTGACAAGCACATGCAATGATTATGAAGACAACTGGTAAAACAATACATGGCAAAAACTATGAGAAAGGGCTTAAAACGTTCAGACTACCGTGTTTCCCCAAAAATAAGAGAGGGTCTTATATTAATTTTTGCTCCAAAAAAAGCAGTACAGCTTATTTTCAGGGGATGTTTTATTTTTTTCATGTACAACAATCTACGTTTATTCAAATACAGTCATGCCATCTTCTGGTTGCTGTACAATGGTGGAGGGTGGGCTTTCACTTAACTAGAGCTTATTTGGGGGGTAGGGCTTATATTACGAGCATCCTGAAAAATCATACTAGGGCTTATTTTCAGGTTTGGTCTTATTTTCAGGGAAACAGGGTATTTATAGAAAGATAACCATGGCATTTAAAAATCCTCAGCACTTGGAATCACTCCAGACTTCATCACTTACATTGCAGTCTGTAGTAGGCTGAGGTGTGGGCAATTGCACCATGTACCTCCAAATATGAGCTGTCTGGTCTCCTGAAGCTGCAGAGCAAATTAAGAGAATATGAAAAAGAGAGGCCACTTGAAATGTCACATTGTTGGTCCTCCAAATTACAGTACAGAAAACTGGAAACAAGTGACAAGCTGAATTTTCTCTTTTTTCCTGCACTTCCCAAGCATACATTTTCCAGTGGTACCATGGCATATAAAAAGACAAACAGTTTAAACCATCCCTCCAAACCGGTATTTCAGACCATGTTTTTGATTCTAGATTGCAACCCAAGTTTGCAGCAACTGCTGAAATCAGTTTGCCAGTTCCAAAGTTTCAGAAAAGCATAATTCACAGAAACTTTTATTAATGAGCAGGAAATAGTGCACTGATGCCTATTCCCAAACCTTCAAACTATGTCTTAAAGAACTAGAAATGTGACACCTGAATTTCGGTCACTTTGTTGTTACTAAGTTGTCTAAACTACAGGTACTACCAAAATTTTTTTTTAAGGTTGGTTGCTTAATATTATGCCCAAATTTAACCTCTTATTATTTGGGAAGTTCATAATGATCTGTTAAGCAAACTCAAGTCACAACATTTCAGTGGTTCACATATACTCAGAGAGATTTTACTGTCTAGCAGCTCATCAAAAGGACACATATAATCCACTCCTTCACAATTTCAATGTACCCTGCTATCCCCTCCTGAATTACAAGCTAAGCTACTAAAGTGAGCACACCCTCTAGAAAACTCAAATTACCCCTTATCCCCCCCTACCCTGAAATAATTCTCTCAAGCATGAGGGCTAAAGCTTATTATGTCACTCGAAGGAGGGGGTAGTAGAGAAGTGATATATAAATGCTAAACATCAATTCCAATTATCTCAAATAAAGCAGTTATGCTGGCCTGTTGCACCAAAATCAAAGTGAACTCTGAGAAAGCTACCACATTCAGTACGCCACATATTTTTTATGGAATGGTGCGCTGTAATAATGCAAGCTTATGCTCCAATAAAAGTAGTAGAGTGTGAAAAGACAGTTTATTTTTGATTATACTGTATATTGGCTGAAATCCTATTGTTTAGCATTAGAAAATTCATAACTTTCAGTCCATTCTAAACCATTCTAAACTCCTCCTGGGGAAGAGGCACATATGTACTAAGCCAGCATATGCATGCACATTTGAGAACCATCATAAGGACTCTTTATTTGCCAGCTAGAAATGGATGGAAAGTTACAGATTTTTTTATGCTAAGCAATAGGATTTCAGTCATTATTTAAAAACTTACTTCTAGTAAAAGAAAACATAAATTATCCTCCAGTCCACTGATGAAACTATAACTGTCCACACATATGTACTAAGCCAGCTTATGCATGCACATTTGAGAACCATCATAAGGACTCTTTATTTGCCAGCTAGAAATGGATGGAAAGTTACAGATTTTTTTATGCTAAGCAATAGGATTTCAGTCATTATTTAAAAACTTACTTCTAGTAAAAGAAAACATAAATTATCCTCCAGTCCACTGATGAAACTATAACTGTCCAAATGCAAGATATCTGTAAACAGAATATAGCCATGATACAGTGAAATCAGGTCTTGTGTCAAACAATAATGCAAAGGGAACACATACAAAAAAAATTAAAGATCAGTTGTATCCAGCTGACTTGTGAACTCAAAATATATACATACCTGTGAGAGCCACTTGCTCTGTTGGATGGAATTTTATGGAATTTACTGTATTAAGAACAAACAAGAACACATAATTGTTACACCACCACATTCAGATGAAGTTCTTACTGAAGTTTATGCAGTTATACTGTGTATTTAGCAAATATGGACCTCTACTGTGATAGAAAATCTATGCCAACAAAAGAATCTCCTGGTTCTAATGTATGAAAAATGCAATATCATAGGGAATTGGGGTGAAATTCAAGAAAGAACTCAAAAGGGTTAAAGAAGAAAAGGTAACTGTGTGCAGTCACTAAGGGAAGTCTCACAGCAGTAGGCTGTATTTTGCCTGATCCAATCACAGCCGATCTATGACTTATATGGACCAAGTTAGCAGAATCCCATAGGAAATAACATTTTCTCTGCATATAAGAAGACCATAACATCCTATATGTATTTATATGGTGAAGTCATAAGAAGAGACTGTGCGTGCTAGTTCACTAGAGAGAGTGGGCTTTTAACACAAGTTATTCAGAAGCCTCACATCTATCCACTTTCATATTGAAATGGTACAGTCCAAAATCTTAACACCTCACTTTGCATATTGCATAGAACAGTCTGATGATCAAATGAACTTTAAGACTTTTTACTGGTTGAAATCCTGTTCATGCAGCTATGACTCAGAAGGCTGATGATGTCACCACCTGCAGCAACTGGAAATTTTTAAAAATCCAGTTCCACCTCCCTCCATGAGGTTCCCGAGGCTCCCATTGGACCCCTTAAATTGTGGGAAAACTGCTGGACATCGTATGATCGGAGGATCTCCGTTTCCCAAAATTGCAGATGGTAGAATGACTGGGACCGATCATTTGGTAAGTGTGATTTTCAGAAATTAAAGACCTTCTCCTTTCCACAATCCCCATTTCCAAAAAGTAGCCACTGCTAATGAAATTAGACTGTATTGCTCTACAAGCAGAATATCAGCCTGTCTTCTTAGTACACAGTTATCAAATGTGAAATCTGAAAGCCTGTTTATCAAACTATTACATTTTGTTCTTTCATGCTCAGACACTGCATTTCATTGAAATGTTCTTATTATAAATGACACAGTTAAAATTTTTATCATGGATTTTACTTGACTCTAACCATTTTAAGAAATTGTCTTTTGTACGCTCAAAGTGTTTTCTAAACTTTGTCTATGTATTACTACCCCCCCAAACCTGTCCTTATAGGAAGATGTCACACAAAAACATTATACTGTTATTCTTGTTCAACAAGAATTTATTCTCACCTGATCCAGCATGCCCAACATATTTGACAAGGCTCTTGCCTGTTTCTATGCTCCATAGTAAAGCAGTGTGATCTGTAATAAAGACAAAGGCAGAGAAAGGCTTTATCTTCCTATAAAGCATATTTCATTAAATTTTAAATTTTAATTTACACAGTGTAAGCCGGGTCTGACAGCAAAACGTGGCATTATTAGCTAGATCAAGGACAGCAAACTATGCTCTCTGAGCTAAACTTGGCAAGAAAAGGAGATAGAGGTTTTACATACAATTTAAAGTCAGACAAAATGTCTCTGAGAGGATTCATAAAACCAGGTCCCCTATGGCTGTCACCAAGCGGGAAGCTTTGTCTTTGCATAGTCAGTCAGTTTGGGCTGGTTCATATACATTCCTAAACTTCTCAGTTTTGTAATTCAGCAGAATAGCTATACTGACTCTGGTGAAAAGCATCTGGGTTCAGGGGATCTAACTGTGCCACAATCAGATTCTGTAACTGGGCAACAAGCGTATATGTATGAATTTGCCACAGTGGATTTTAGGGTAATGCACTCTCTTGACTATAAATGCAATCTGGTGTTCCATTAAGACATTCCAGCTCATGAAATAAAATCTTCCCTTCCCATCCTTCATTTTGCAAACTTTTCCTGAGCAACTGTGAGAGTTGGGGGGTGGCTTGGCAGGGAAAAGAAATTATTCCCTCTCAAATGCCCAGAAGGCACACTATGTGATGGTTTCCTTTTCTTCACATCATGCTTTTCTGCTTTCTTTAATCCCCAGCAGATGGCACTAAAGCATCAAAAAATCTTCATTTTAATCAGAGGAAAATCTGTCTCCTCTCTTTCAATGTACAGTACTGGAGTAGAAGAACAGAATGAACCTATAAGGCCATTGGGTCCAGCCTCCCCACTCCCCGCTCAATGAAAGAATCCAAGTTAAAGTCAGTAATTTTAGTAACCCCCATTTAAATAATTGCCAGAATATTTCAGAACCTGTGATGTTACTGTTGGACCAAATACAAGTTATATCCATAGTAACATAAATACTTTAGTGTAAGATTTGAGGAAATCTGCAAAATATGAAAACAAATTAAGGTTTTCCTTACAAATCTGAAAGAGAAATTGAAAAAAAATATTTAGGATGTAAATGCTAGACTTTATGTTCTAGCAGTTTTGTTCTTAACTTTTAATATGCTAGTTTTCCAAAAGTCTGTTGGAACAGATGGTTCTTGTACGTTTTTCGGGCTGGTTTTAACTGTTGGAACAGTTAAAAGATATAACTGTTGGAACAGTTAAAAGACAAACCATAGCAGTTTTCTTTTGCTGACACAATAATTCATGAAAACAAAGGAGGCAGTAAGTATGTAAGAAGAGAATTAAACACTTTAAATAGCTAACCCTTAATGTAAGTGTTTAAAATTATGAAAGACAGAACATGAGCTCCTACTTTGAAGAGAGGTAGCTATCTAAACTTCTCAAAGTTTGGACAACTTTGTTTATTTTTAGATTGCTTTTTAAAGAAAAAGAATACTGTAACTAAAAAAAATTTAAAAGTAGCAAGTAACATATTGGTCCAAACCCTGTTAACAAAAAACATGTGCAAGGGCAATTTTCACAGTGGTTTTTGACCCTCTGATTGGCCATTCTTCATATGACTGGTTGTCTACCCATAAAACCGTGAAGCAGTTTGGCCAGAAAATATCTTGGCCCCAGCAACTAAAGTATCTGACACGCACCATTCCTAGCAGAAAAACAAACGATGTTCCAGAGGTTTTAAAGCAAAATGATTTCCATCTTATATGAAAAGTGGGAGCAAAACTGAGCATCTACTGGCCACTAGTTGATTATGTTGCTAGCATGATCCTTTAAAAATAATCACAAGCAGCAGGGAAAACAAGGCATAGGAACTCTACCAGCAGATGCAGTCCCCAGCACCACCGGCTGAGATTTTGCGACACTGACATCCCAAATCCCATCCCGATGACCAATATACTCTTTCACCAGCTGGCAGATTGCTCTTGATGTTGTTGTTTTGAAACTGGACACAATCTAAGAATAGCAAGAGACAGATTTAAAATACAAGTACAGATAAACAATCGCTCACCATTCCCCACTGCCAGCCTATTCAAATGCACAACATAAAAGCCATCGATACATTTAACTGTATCACAAATTTTGGATGCATAAGCTCTAGGCTGCTCTCTCCTAAAAAATAATGGGACCAAATTTGTCCTGTGTGAAGTCAAGATATTCTGCTGCATGTACCAGAGCAGAATTTGGCCCAGTGAAAGCATTTTAGGAGGTCATAATGCAGCAAACCTTCAGATCTCCCTTACCCTTTTCTGATAAACCAAAGGGTATAATCTGAGGAGCATTTAGCTTTTCCTTCTGTCTGACATCTACTGTGGGCTATACAAGACAGCTTATTAAACATAACTAGCCAAAAATATGTAAAGTGAGGGAGAAGGAAAGCGTTAAAATCTAAAACCATGTCAAATTAAAAAACATTACTCAAAATACAGCTAATGACATTCATCCTGGAAGTCCATGCCAGTTCCTTTTACAGAACTATAGCTGAAGTTCTGTTGCTTTAACTTATGCTGCATAAAGTTTGTGATGTCATCAGCTGTGGCAAGTTTTTGGAAAAAAGATACTTCTAATTACCTCCACCACCATGGATCCCAAGGATCCTTTGGTATCCCTTTCACTGTGAGGAAACAACTGGGGGTTGGAGGACAGATTAATTAATTTCCAAAAGTCCCAGCTGCCAGGATGATTTAATCAGTGGCTATGATTTTCAAAAACTAAATATTTCTATCCATCCCACAGTCCCAAATGGCTTCCCCATAATAAAGTGGAACCCAAGGACACCTCACAACCTTTTGGGGTAGGGTAGGGGAAATGTTTTTGTTTTTGTTTTTAATTTCAGAAAAATTGCCATGATTGACAGTGTCATCCATATGATGCGGAGTAAAGTTGTGGAGCAGGATTTCTGTCAATGAATCACTCCTTTCAAAAAGAGTACGAAGTTTATATAGTAATCATAAAAGACAAAAAGCACTACTCAATGCTATGTTAATTACTTCACTCATCTGCTGTGATTAAATAACTCTGGGAGAAAAAAAAACTTCCCTAAATAGCAATTACTATATTAAAAATAATTAACAATAAAAAGGAAGCAAGAGCTCACACTTTTGCAAAGTTTCTCTTGTAAGAAGCATTTTAGAACTCAGATTTATATACAGTACATATAGATGAATTAACTGGATCTTTAGAGAAATCTAAATCAACAATTATAAATGTTTCTCATAATGTAGCAATTTTGATATTGAAGAATCTGAACTTGACTAGAAATCCTATAGAACAGTGGTCCCCAAAACCTTGGGCCTCCAGATGTTCTTGGACTACAACTCCCAGAAGCCTTCACCACCACCTCTGTTGGCCAGGATTTCTGGGAGTTGAAGTTCAAGAACATCTGGAAGCCCAAGGTTGGGGACCACTGCTATAGAAAGTGAATAGCAGAACACTGTTTTGGTTTCTGTGGGGTTCCTCTAAATTTAAAATTTGAGATTGGTGCAGCAAAAATGGTTGCTCCGGGTATACTGGACATCACAACAATTTTTACGGAAAACACAGCCAGATGTGTACGAAGCAAAAGGGATAATGAGTCTCTGGAACATTGTGGTGGTTTCTTTTTCACTGAAAACCACAATTCATATTGATATTTGCTATTTTCAGAATCTACATTCTTATGGTGTCTAACAGGAATAAATGACTCTCCATTTACAAACAGACTTATGCTCCATGGTTGCGAAGAAACATTCACCATGTATCTCTTAATGGTCTGAAGATATAACTGATCCATGTAATATTTAAATACGCATGTTATCATTTCTGATGGGCCACTATTCTGGGCACAGGGTCTGTCTGCATCAACCTACAGGCTAAAAAGATGTCAACCTTATTGTCATTGTGAACTGCCTTTGCTTCTTTTGGTAATTTCCCTGCTTCTTTTCCTTTTGCACTTTTCCATATATAATAAAAAATTTTCAAATGCAGGAGCTGTGTTCTAAAACACAGAATCATGGATATTAATCTTCGCTCATGCTGTGGCACAAAAGCAAAGGCAGGAAAAACAGAAGAAACAAAGCTAGGTCCAAACATAATTGCCTTTCTGGGCCATATATACTGGACCAACATGCTACACTAATACGCCAATATGAATTTTTTTTCAGATGTTAACTCATTTTATTATACAGTAAGTGCTAAATTGGGGATCTATAGATGAGTTGTACTACTACAGGCCAACATGCTACACTAATACGGCAATATGATTCTTTTTCACATGTTAACTCATTTCATTATATAGTAATTGCTAAATTGGGATCTATAGATGAGTTGTACTACTACAGGTGCATATGGGAGGCTTCCTAGGTGTTGCTGGACTGCAACTACCATCTGCACTAGCCAGGAGTGAGGAACGCTGGGAGTTGCAATTATAAACAAATATGGGATGCTTCCCAGGTGTTGCTGGACTACAACTCCCATCTGCACTAGTCAGGAGTGAGGAACGCTGGGAGTTGCAATTCACTTGCATTTTCAGTCCTGCGAAAGTGTTAAGCATATCCCCTGACCATCTATTCAACAGGGAACTTAGTCCCCAAGACCATTTTAACTTAACACTCCTAACTGAAGGCTTTAAAAAAGTATGGGATGCTTCCCAGGTGTTGCTGGACTACAACTCCCATCTGCACTAGTCAGGAGTGAGGAACGCTGGGAGTTGCAATTCACTTGCATTTTCAGTCCTGCGAAAGTGTTAAGCATATCCCCTGACCATCTATTCAACAGGGAACTTAGTCCCCAAGACCATTTTAACTTAACACTCCTAACTGAAGGCTTTAAAAAAGTTGTCTCATTTTGTGGATCAGGGCTAACAGCATATCTGGCGTCTGGAAAGGGTTAGGACTAATGGCTTAAGTCATAATGGAACTTCTCATATGTTCCCTCTATAGCTCAAAGAGTACATATTTTTACTAAAGGTGCTGTCACACTTCACCACTCCTAGACTGTCTACATATAAAGGTCTTAGCGGCAAACATAGACAGTACATGCATATTCTAGTGAAAAGTAACGCTAGTGAGTGTTTTGATTTAAAGTGCTGGAGTAAGCTGTGAGGGGATCTTCAATATGAACATTTCTAATCTGGACAGGAGGGTATTATGAAAGGTATCCAAAAGAAACAGACAACTAAGAGATGCAGAAAATTCTTCATACAATGCCTTAGGTGGATTTCTTCTAGTAAGCCGTAAAATGAAATTTTTAAAAACGTGAAAACATGTATTATATCAATATGCTCGAGAGCAGTGGTCCCCAACCTTGGGCCTTTAATTTTTAAAAATGTGAAAACATGTACTATATCAATATGTTCAAGAGAACAGAATTTAAAGGACTGTGACTTCCTATCAAGTACAGAGTTGGACCCAGACTTAATTAGAACAAACTCATTTGAATCAACGGGATTTAAATTAGTTGCTATATTTTTTTCCCAATGGACCTAATCTAAATATGATTCTGCTCAAGAGAACAGAATTTAAAGGGCTGTGACTTCCTACAAGTACAGAGTTGGACCCAGATTTAATTAGAACAAACTCATTCGAATCAATGGGATTTAAATTAGTTGCTACATTTTTCCCCAATGGACCTAATCTAAATATGATTCTGTCTGAGACCAACCCATACACTTGATAGTAAATCAAAGTTTGTTGCTGTATATAATGGTGACAAATTAACCCTTCTAGGTTAGGACTCTTATTTATTTATTTAAATCAAGGTTTGTTGCTGTATATAATGATGACAAATTAACCCTTCTAGGTTAGGACTCTATTTCCAAAAGCAGCAGTTTAAGGATTATTTTAACTGGTGCATATATGAAAAAATGCCACCTTAAAAACAATCAAAAGGCATGAAAGAAGGGTATGTGTATATTCATTTTTAAAGACATTGGCTTAAATCCAGTATCAAGTCACAACTAGAATGGGCCCTGTTGAATCAATAGGGGTTTGGTGAGTCACCTCCACTTTGAGTTCCATTGATATGATGAATCTACTCCAGTTGCTATTAAGAAACTTACGCAACCTCAGAATTAAAAATGTTTTATAAACAGAGCCTAGTAAAACCAAAACCCTCGATGCAACATATACCATCTTGTAAGAAAACAAAACAGAAGAGTTCAATTACATCTTATTCTACTTTTACAAACAAGGCCTTAGGAATGGTCAATCTTTTTTAAAAAATGAAAACAAAGAGATTAGGTGTTCTATCAACACATTACACTTTGGGGGGAAATGAAATTTAAGGACTAAAGGAAGAATGTGAAGAGTGATAGTATTCCTTCTTTTCCCTTTGGTACTCTTTATCATGATGAAATAGGACCTAAATGGAATTATAATTAAGTAGTTAATGAGCAAGATTGGTTCAGAGCAATAATTACTATGGATGCATTGAAAAGGAAACGGGTAGAGATTAGTACTTGAACCAGAGTGTGGAATTAATCATAACATTTTCAAGACAGTATTAACATTCAGTTGTCAGATTTAATGTCTTCAACCAAAAAGGAGGCTTTGTGTGAGAAGTGGAACAGTAGAATAAATTTTAGTAACAGAACCTGAATGCTCCTCAACTGTTAATAAAAGGAGAAGGGTCCAGCTGGGTTCTCAGATCCACAACTCCCCTCAAGGAACAGAGGGGTGAATTGTAAGATGATTTCTTTGATAGCTAAGAAATTTAAAGGACTTAATTTTCTGAACTGTTTGGAATTCTAAGGAAAAGCTCACAAGACAGAACCTTTACACATCATCTGTTTAGAAAAACACATTTGGATTAACTCCTCTTTTCATTTTAGTACATTTACGGTATTTTCATTGCCTACTCTGCAGAACCTTGTACCAATGTAGAAATTACTCTCTTTATTTGCTAAAAAGTCCATATATTCTCTTTTAAAAGACTTAATTATTTTTAAAAGTCCATGTAAAATTGAATATGAAAACATA